TGACTGGTAGTCCTTTAACTCCACTGAGTTTAGCCCTCTCTGACTGTATCAGTGAATTTGACGAGGGTTGTTTTAACGTAAGCTTACTGTGCCAGCAGCTCTTCGGTTTATCCAATTCTCCTGTTTTCTTCATTTCTCTATTCTTCTGAATGCCTCCACGTTAGTGATGAGTTATATCCATTTTTAGCACCCTTCCATAGGTCCAAATCTCGAATGTCTAAGGCTTTGCTTTGTGTTTAATAATCTTAAACCAAAGGCAACCAGAGCCAAAAACCTTCATACATGAGGACTTTCACGGCAGTTCTCATGTCTTCGTGCGAGTGGATCGTGTGCAAGTTTCCTTAGGCAGATCGTATAAAGGAAAACCTAAATTCTTCATGGTGGAATTAAAAGGGAAGAATATCCTGACCTGTAACAATGAGTCTGCGATGCGGATTTGTCTGGGTGCGGGTGGTTTGTCCTGCTTGAAGAGGTAGAGCATAAACAGGGAGCTTACAAACCAGGCGAAGAATGTTAAAGACGGGAATGAAAAAGAGAGAGAATAAATATCCTTTGGAAGGATTCTGCCAATTAATCAGTGGGATTGCACAACTATTCGAACTTTTTTTTAATAAATCGGTTTCCTGGGCAAGGCAAGAGAAGGGCAATTACTTTAAAAACTCATTAATTTGCTAAAAATTTACATACTTAATTTCATGCTGGGAGATGAGAGGTGATCAGAGAAATTACGGCCCAAAGTCGTCCTTGTCTTCCGGAAACCGTTAGAAGATGAGAAGAGTCTTTAAGGCCTACCACTTCTTTCCTCTAACAGACTCGGAAAACAAACAAAGATAAGAAATGTCAAGACCCTGATCTCCATGGCCTCAGCACCGTGTGCGTGTATGGACATAAATCAATGATTCAATGTCACAAATTTCCAAACATTTTTTTTCCTATTTTACAGCTGTATTACATCGTCCATTTTTGAAAGAGATAAGATGCGAAATATTGTAGTACCATAGGGTGTTTAAATTAGTTTTATTTTCTTTAATGCAATGCATAGAATTAATATTCAAAGGCTCATTGATGTCTTTCAGCCCGATCTCACGGTGACACCACCCTTTGGGATAACTGTCGAGAAATAATTTCCACTTCACCAAATGTTTAGTTTTCCTCATAAATGTTTGATCTGCCATTTATCTTTCTGTTGTCTGGTCGCTTCCGATTCTGGACCATCTGTCCTCGCTGGTTTACTCTGAGACACAGCACTGTAGAAGGGAGTTAGAGAGACGGGTCAATCACTCCGCTCACAATGTTGAAAAAATTGTTTTCAATTTTTTTCCTTTGAACAAGAAGTGGGCCTTGAATCGAAACAAGTTCTCATCAGCAGGATCAAGGTCCAGATTGTCGCGGGTGTGGCAGGGGTTCGACCCCATGGATCACACTGATGTTTTTTCTTAGTCCGACGTTAAGCAAGTGAGTGTTATCTTGTTGGAATAGAACTCCTTTATTGTTTACCGATGGTAACGTCCATCATTCTTTCTATTTGCACTAGAGTTCAGAATCAATAGAACATCAGTACCAAACTTGTGTTGAACAACTCCTTCCAATTGAAAAAAAGGTTGAACCTTTCAATTGAATTCACACCAGCCCTCATGTTCTGCTGGGAAAGCCATTGCCAGCGAGTTTCACCAATAAACCCACTTTTCAGCTCACGAGGACATTAATTGTCTACTATCCTATCTAATTGTTGGATCGTAGTTCAATCAAGACCGAACTATTTTGTATCTTCCAAGTGTGCAGATGGACACTAGGGGTGTTCCGACACATCACGCCCTGACAAGTACGCGAGTGGTTACGATTTTACAGATTCGCACTGAGACTTCTTCTTACCCAAGTATAAATCTCTGTCGACTCAATCAATGACCTCTTCATTGTGCAATCTCCATCATCGTCGAAACTCTTCGTTATGATTAAGACTTTTCATTGGATCCCAGAGCTTTGGTCAAGGACTTTTTCGAGCTTTGGCTTCCCCTCTCCTTGGAATAGGAACACTTGTCACATACTTGGTGTTTACCTCCCAAAAATAGTCGACGTTAACTTGGATCCCCTTCTTCCAGTCTGCTCTATCAGGTATTTTGGTTCGAAAGTTTTTATCAAATCTGAATTTTGGCCTCTCCAGAATCCATGTCCGCCTATAGTTCATCCCGATGCTTTAATTGTTCCTTGTCAGAACCTGGGTGGCAGAGTGGTTAAGGAGTCCGGCTCGTATTTTACACGCTGCTGTTTTGTTTTTTTGCAGGGACCTTTACCTTACAGTGATTAGCGCCGTGTCAACGTTGTGGCCACCGTCGCCCCTGCTGTCTTGGGTTCGAATCCCGGCATCGCCCAACAGTTTTTAAGTTAAAATTGTTGGAAAGAAGTATTATGATGCGGTCTGACCCCCGCCCGGGATACCCAACTGGTAGTTGGATGTTAAGCTCTCCCGTATGTATGGATAAAAACCGTTTACAAAGCTACGTAAAAGTCCACATAAGGGATCCGGGGCACGACGCGCCCAAGCCGCTAGCAGCACCCAATCAGTTCCTCGTCATTAATTTGGTTGTCACGTTAAAAATCGATGTAAGAGAGTCCAAAGCCGCAATACTTTTTATATCCGAACATACAGTTTGGATATTGGTGGGGAATGTTATTCTGCAGTTATTTAGGTCGGAGAACATTATTTGCCTGTCTACTACGTTTTTTGGGTACGCCATAATGACGTGGTCCTGGTCAGCACATACTGTTGCATCACACTCACAGCTAGTATGATCTATAATACTGATTTTTGCCAGAAGACTGGGTAGCTGGTTGTGATTGAACTGAACTCTAAAAAGTGTTGAAAAATTATCTTGGCCTATCTACTTTAGGTCGTATCTTGTACAGTAGACTGTAGCATCCCATAGTGCCGACGCATTGACAGTTTTGAGGTGTCATAGGCTTTTATCAATTTATTCTAGCACTATTTTTCAAATGGGCTTTGATATTGCCGGTTAATTGTGTGTACTCCCCATCTATCGCCGCTTCTTTCGAGAGTAAATCATGAGGTTTCATAATTAAATTTATTCTCGCGATGGGCATTGATCCAATTGAAGTGTACGTCAATATTGCCTTCCCGCTGATTGCTTGTTATACGATCAATAGATGAACAAAGATGTTAGGGGGTGTTTTTGTTGCGACTAGTATTTGATTCCAGTCAGAACACTAAGACTGTCTGCGACGAAAAGTGTTTCTGGTTTGGGTCGGTCCTGTACATATTTAGTACTTACAGAATACTGAATGCTATCCGCAGTGGAGATTGAGACCGTGTAATTTAATTTTCCGGTATTGTATCTTGATCGAGCATAGCTGCCCAAACTCGAATTTAAAGCCTAGCACGCACTGGGATTCTGGACTCTTTGTCGCGAAGCTGCGTCTGGGATTCATTTTCTTGCATCCGAGACGCTCCGCGACAATAAATCTTGAATCTGGTATGTTGCGTTTTAGTATTTTTTGAACCCCATCATAAATGGGATTCTTTACTCAACGTTGCGGGGCAAAGAGTCTGCGACATGTATCCGAGAATCTGCGACAAAGAGTCCGTACAAAGAATCCCAGTGCGTATCAAGCTTAAGGCTCGACCCATCAGTACGACTCTTATAGCACCACAATTCCCGACTTCATAGGAGCATCTTATTTTCGCTCCCTCCCTCCAATTCATCAGCCATTGTTACCACGTGTGGGACGTGTTTCTGTTTTCCAGACAGGTCCCAACATCCTACCGACAACTGGTATTTTTATTTTCATAAATATTGTTAGCAGGCAGAGTAGTTCAGACTTTCCAATGGTCTTTTTGTTCCTGCTAATATTGTCCGGGGCCAATAGAGACAGGGTGGTTCATCCACCATCCTTTGTGCTATGAACCTGCAAGTTCCGTCTCCAACAGACAAAGGGGATTTTTCCCTTTGCAATATAACTGCTAAACAGTATACAGGTGCTAGTGTCATCCCTGGTTTTCTCGAAAACAATTGAATCTAAGAATTGTGAAGAAATAGAAAAAGTATTACATGTACATGGAATAAAATATTTATTTATTTGTTATTAACGTATGTTTTTACATCATATTCTTAATTGTTACGTGTCAGTTTCTTGTAGCTAGACTGCCCCCAGAACCAATGTCGAACCAATTAACTACTTTATTGATAACTATGAGTAAAATGTTTTACCTAATACCTTAATACCTGCTGTTATTTCTTAATTAATATATTAAGATTAAGATCTTTTCGATCTGCGCACTGCAACCAGTATTGGGCTATTGTGAATCTCCATTGTGGTGTAAAGCTCCTCATTAAGCTTAAGTCTTTTTACCAGATTCCAAAGCTTTTGGAAGGACTCCTTTGGGCCGCTACATCATAAGCTAAACCAACAGAGGACATGTTCGATCCTTTTTAAAAAAGATGGTTCCTACTCACATTAAGTTGTTTCGCAACAATCCGGATTTCGAGCCCTTTAGCTCATCGTCAGGTTGAAGGGCTCGAAATCCGGATTGTTGCGAAACAACTTAATGTCAGTAGGAACCATCTTTTTTAAAAAGGATCGAACTCCCCACTCACCCCATCATTTATAATTTCTATGAGGACATGTTTTTCTGTCTCTTCTTCTTCTTCTTTGCAAAATCTGCACTTATTGTATTTGGTATTATTTTTTTTATAAAAAATTGAATATTTGCTATGAATGCCCAGTACAATGTTCTGCCGGAAGGTCAGTCGGAATCTTTACGATGATAAATGTAGGTGTGACGAGCCTTTCGATTGGTAAAGGCGGCTACTCGGTCGAGTTTAACGAAGTCAGCTACCTTGTTTTTTAAAATGCAACTCAATAAAAGTCTTGACAAGATTGTAAAGAAAACAGAAATCGCAAGATATCTTACTATTGCGAAACCCGTTTAGATCATTAAGATTGGCCGGTGAGTAGAACGCGACCTTCATTCCCTACTTGTTCCCGAAGAGTTTTTTTCTCGAGTCGACCGCCGGACTTCATTGCAACGTCGTCTCGCCTCCGACGAAGGATGCGTGTCGTACTACTCTGCGCTATCTTCGTCTTCTTCTGTATCACGTCGCGGCAAGCCGTGACAATCGTCCAAGTCGAGAAGAACCTGCTCAAGTACCTCACATCCGTCAATTTAATGAATATACTCACAAATAAAAGGATTATGGCCATGTACATGAAATGTCTCCTTCGGAGAGGACCCTGTTCCCCGGAAATAAGAGACTTTAGACGTAAGTCTGTTTTTTTATTTATTTTTTATATTTTAATTTTGCGTCTAAGTCCTGCTTTTGAAATACCAATTCCTCAAGGTCTACCACTCTTCTCATAAACAGAATCCTTTACAACGATATTTACATTTTAAGAAGTTGTAACTTAAATGTACGGATTGTTTAACTATTTTTAATGTCCTTCATGTATAATTCGGTTTGTTTTCACTCAGAAATTTAGAAAATAAACACGCATTTCTCATAGACAAAAAATTCCAATAGGTCGGTGGAAAAGGTCCAACAAAAACCACCGACACATTAACATACTTAGCTAACAACCGGGTTGTTTCACATGAACCGTTTTCACGCTAAAAGCTAGTTAATAAAAAAAATATTCAAAATCACTTAAAGTACCTTTTATCTACTCTCTATTCCCAATATATAACCAACTTTTTAAATACCAGAACTGAAAAATCCAGAGTTTTGAGAAAGGAAGTCAAAAAACGCTTTTCGTGCCTCGGAATCATTTTCAAAAAATGTCTCCCCTAGGTAAATAAACAGATGAAAATTGAGAAAGGCCTGGAGAATAAATTGGGTGCGGAAGAACTTGATAGTCCAGCTCCTTTGATTTATTCACAACCTTCCTTCAAACATGAGGTCTAGCGTTGTCCTGTTGTCATTATACCAATATTAGTTGTTTTTTAAATTGGTCTCAACTGTAATAAAATAATGGTGAATAATTCCAGTCAATTCAGTCATAATTTTTTTAAAAATGCAAATTTGGTTTTTGACCTGTGTCGTCGACATAGATAAGAAGTCGACATACCACTGATCGGACAAGTGAACTAATTCTTGTCACACAGGTTTATCGTCAAACCTTTGGATGTCGGTGGACGATAGGTCAAACCGCTTTAAAGCATTTTTCCAGATTGTTTCCAATTAAAATTCCATAGGCTGTACCTGGATTTGAACCAGAACCTCGAGACAAATAAAGAGTCGGACGACCAAACCACTCAACCCTTGCTCCGTTAGGTAGAATAAACCAGACTGGTTTTTATTAGGTTTCGTGGTCCGCTTACCAAATAAATTCTTTTTCAATTAATTAAGGTTTTGGTTGTGATAAAAAAAATGGTTGAAAAATGGCAAAAAGGAGGGAAAATTAAAAAAGGTGGGGTTGAGATGGGAAGTTAGTGTCCGAGTAGATCTAAGTCACGATAGTTCAAGTGGTAGAGCAGCGGCGTATTTAGCCGAAGGTCGTGGTTCGAATCCCGCTTGTGACACTGACTTTTTTATTTCAACCGAAACCTTAATTAATTGAAAAAAAAACTAGACTAGGTTGAGATTTTGCTAAAATGGCGGTGTGCGTATATTGATGGAAGTTGGAAGCATTGACGAAGTAGGGGTGGCTGACAAATGGTGGCCTTCTAATATCCAAGCTGTCAAAGCCCTTTTTACTATCAACGACTAGTGATTGCTTATGGCTTAACTAAAGTTTCCACATTACTTCCACAAGTTTATTTAAGCAGGGGCTCAACCTGATGGAGCAAGCTGCCTGCAGTACCCAGCCTTACAGCGTAGCAGTTCGTTCGTTAGCACTCCCTAAAACGCCACAGTGAGATTTGTTGAGGAATGACAGAATTTTAAGGAATTAACAAATATAGAGGATAACGCCGCGTATCCATGTTTATGCATTCAAAGACAAAACAACCGGACACTTGTATTTATATTAGCTAGCTATAAAGATTAATAGTTGACTTAAAACATAAACACAACATAATAACTGGCTGTTCACCTTTATAGAATGTTATTAATCCCTTTACACTCTTTAGACTATAAATAAATAAAATCTGTTTTCTTTGATGAAGGAATAAATTTGAGTAAGAAATTCTTTTTTCTTAAAAACATGGTTTTAAGTTGAGAAGTTCTCGCCCAACAGATTTTTTGGCCAATGCTCTAGCATATAGCCATATACGACGAATTGACACGATCGTTTTATTGCTCTTACCGCGCTACGAAACCGTCATTTAACGGGTTCCTTGGGATGGGCGATAGTCCATTGTTGAGCACTATCGATTGGACGACTATCGGTTAAAAACGAGCGATAGTTTTTCGATAGCAGCTTTCCATTTTCCATAGGTAGATTACCTACGCTACCTACTTACCTATTCAATAAAGAATTTCAAGTAATTGAATTTAATTACCTATTACTTGATACTTGCAGGATTTGGTACATTATAAGACTAAGCAAAGATGGAAAACCAATTTATTTGAATTTAAAAAAAAAGTAGTTAGAAGGAACAAACCAAGAAACAAAAACTGCACTTATTTCAAAACCTACCATAATCCGAGCTTCAAAACCTACAGGAAAATAAAAAAAGCTATTGATAGTCATGACCTATCGATATATCAAAAGAACTGCCTACTATCGCCCATCCCTAGTTCCTTGGTATCTAATCAACTCCAAAGGTCCGTTACGTAAGGGTGATCTCTAAAATAGTCATCATAATGCTTCGTCAGAATAGTCTATAGTGTCTAGACGTCCCGCACCAGGTTCTCTAATACTGGAGAGGCATAGACTATGCGTAAACCAACATCTTGCTTGGACACTTGAACAATGGGAGGCGGTTCTTTTCACAGAAGATTTCCGGGTTTTCTTTAAGGTGGAGGGTGTTGATTACAATTTATAAAAACGCTTTCCTACATTGCGACTGGCATAGATGTATTGTGGAACTGGAATCATATAGCCATACCTTGGAAAGTGAACATATTAGAGCACATTCCTCGGTACCTCGTCGCGCACTTGGTGTGAGAATTTCCTTACCGGGCTACTTTTTCACATTCAGAAAGGCCGTGCCCCAGTTTCTCTGGTTCCTCCTGACAGAGTCTCTGCTCTGCCCATCTTCTTCAGGTAGTAATTAAGAGGGCCGGTATGGAGGCCTATAATTTTCTTCAAACCCTGCCTGCTGAGAAAGAGGAGTTCCTTCGCCTTCTCTTTTGAGAGATTTATAAATCCCTTAGCTTGCCTCATACCAGGTATTTTTGTCCAGTGCTTGAGCTTTTGCTAGGCCCGTTTATTCATCTGTGTACCATATCAGGGCCCCTTCCTGAAACTTGGGGCCACTCCCCCCCCCCAAGGTCTTTATTATCTATGTCCACTTGGAAGGTATGTCGAAGTTTTTTAGGTACAGTTATAACCATCTCATTTAGTTTAATTCTTTCTAGAATTTAGAGATGGCTCCTCCTTAGATCTGACTTCATTTCCTTGTATCTCAGAAGTCTGTTGACAAGCAACCTTTTTTATATAAAAAGGGTAGTAATAAATATATTCGAGTGCGGGTTGGTTTGTGTCAAACCGTGTGTGTAGAACGCTTTGCTTCATGTACCACCTGCGAGTCACAGACCTTTTCAATGTCAGTTATGGTACGGGGTGGAAGCGACGTCCATGCCCTTATCGAACTAATTAGCAAACAGAATGGGTCTTTCACTGCATTAAAGTACATTGAAGAAGTTCTAGGAGATTCCGATTTCCTGCATGATAATGCTCAATCGCATGAACTCGAGTTGTCACCCATTATTTGTAGGATGAATTGGCCAGTACTCCTGACAACCTATAGAACACTTATGGGACATGGCAGTGAGACGTGTTAGAATCGTTCGCCAAAAATAGATATTTAATTTGAAACAATCCAATAATAAAAGTCAGGGAATTTTTGACTATGATTTTTTCGTAGCTATAATTTAATAGAATATTTAGAAAACGTCAAAATATTTTGCTTTCATTTTGTCCTTTAATGCAGGTCGTTTATGAAATCATGGCCTGTTTTTCCCCATCATCTTATTGCAGAACACTAATAAGCTTAGAATCGTAGTGTTAAGACGAAAAAACCGATGTTGGAAGGTGTGTAATTTTATAATTGACTCGTTTAACCTTGTTTGGCCTATTTTTAGTTTTAAAGTGTCTATGTGCGTTACTGGTTTAAATAGGGCAATACGATGCCACTGGAGGAAGCAATTTCGCTGCTGTTATAAACGTGGGACCCACCAACACGCTGACAAATATTTAAGTTGAACAGGTAGTAAATCGCTATAAATGGTTAATATCTACAATATCTAATTGTTTGAATATAAAATATATTTTGCATTGTATAAATTCACTTATCCACATCCTAAATGTATTTGTTAAATGTAAACATTGTTTGTAAATCCCAGGCCCTGAAGATGATCTCAATAAAACGATCGAAACGTTGGCACGATAAAGAAAATGTTTTTCTGAAACCTACATCACTCCCGACCGCATCTCACGATATCTGAATATCTAATATTTATGTTCACTTTATGCTTCCTCCTAGTAATCCTAGTAACAAATATCCGCGGATGCGGAAATTCTGCGTACTTGTGATTTGTTTTATAAACTTGCAACTTTGTTTTTTTAATAAACGGAAGAAAAACGCCCTGGGAGAACCGGTAGTCCTGAAGAATGTAGTTACCCTTGCCATCGTGTGTGGAAGGTGATGTCCTGTTGTAACCGATTCCGTTCTTGATTTTTTCCCAACCGTCGGAAATCCGTTCTTATAATTAATTTTAAAAAAAAATCATTTTAATATAACTCGTTGATTTAAATTTTTGTTCCAGGCCTGCTCCCGAGATTCCTGAAACATCTGTGCAGCTATTGCAACGAACAGGAAAGTGAAAGTCTGAGAATCATATTTCAATTTGTTAAATCACGACGGCCGGAAGAATGGAAACAGTTGGAAGACGTTTACGATCCGAAAAGAATCAATACTGATAGAATTGAAAAATTTATAGGCAAACGTAGTAACAACATTTGATTTTGTTTATCTTATGATTTTGTTGTTGTTGTTGTAATAAGTGGATCAAATGTTAGTCATTTATGTATGTGACATTACACATTACGAGTAAAGAACATGACCAAAAAGGATCCGCTGGCATCAGATTTGGTGATATAATTTATGTGAAATTCTTATTTTCTGTTCGCTTGTATATCTAATAAATATTAATTATAATAATTTAAGTATAGTTTTTCTTATCAAAGAAACATAAAAGAAATTCGAATGAAATGATTCTTATAACATGTAGATAAGATGCAAAGAATTTTAAAAGTAACTTGATTAAGACAAGAAAAAGAGAAAAGATGGTGAAGAAAAACGCAAAATTGTTATTATCTCAATCAAAAGTAAATATCAAGTTGAAAAATTATAAAATAAATATTTTGAAAAATCAGCAATTGCGTTTTAAATGATTCTGCTTTGGAATCTAAGATCTCATGATTTAATTTTGTCAATGTACTTTGTCTCCTCTAAATGAAAAACACAAGGAAAAAAGCGAAATCAAAAAAATGTTCGCCCCGCTGGATGAAGCTGAAATTAATCAATAAAAACTTCAAGAAAACCATCTTTTTTTAAGAAAAAACCCTAGAGACCCTAAGCACCCGTTCCTTGAAACCCTAGGAGGGCAGGAGGGCCAGCCAGGCCATGGGGGAGTGAAAACGCAGACTTTAGGGGGTTTAAAAAGTTTCAATTCTTAAAGGGATGATGGTAACAGATCCCATTTCTTGGATGTGGCCATAAACCTAGTGGTTAGGGAGTCTGACTCGTATTTGCCACGCTCCTGGGTACGAATCCCAGCAGAGCCCATGGTTTTTTATTGAATTATAGTATGTAAAAGTATTGTAGAGTAATTTGATCCACGACACCCAACAAGTTGCACGATAAGCCCTCCTGAATTGTATTTACAATGCTACGGAAAAGTTCACATCCGTTTGGGATCAAAAGCTTAGGCCACTATCAAAGCCTTAGAAGACACGTCAACTTAGGAGCAGACCACCTGCTAGACGTCGAACACCTAGCTAGACAATTCAAACGCGTAAAGCCTCATGATTTATTGCTGATGATGTGAAAATGTGATTCGAGAACGGAATAAACTACATTGTGTATATATAAGTTTTATTGTCTGAGGTAATTATTAGAAAAAGATTAGCTTTTTTAATAGATAGGTTGTATTATTAATAAAGTTTGTCCACCTCTTAGAATTGGAAGAAATTTTTTTTCATCTAATCTATGAAGATGTAGATGTATTAGTGGGGGTGTGTAGTATACTGATCCCTTTATGAGCAATTGTATCCCCCGTTCTGTGCTTATAGCACATCGGTGAGTCCTATTCATCAAGTCTCAGTGGTTGATTTCTTCTAAGTTGATATTGTGGCGCCACAGTTTGTTAGTAGGTGTGTTGGTGTTTAGTCTGTTTCCTTGCAGAATCTGCTCGCGCCGTGTTGTTTGTGCTAATCTTCCTCAGCTGCCCATTCAGTATGCAGTGTCCTGGTAAGAATACTGTTAGGTTTCGCAGTTTTTTCCTGCTTTCTGTATTGCATTCTGTTACCTCTTTCCTTCCAAAATTTTCTAGAATGTTCTTGGATTGGTTATGGCCAATGAGTGAATTCCATCCCGCATTTTCTTTTTATCCATCTGCTTGAGGTGCTCATAGATAGTGTGGATTCCTATGCCACAGAAGACCTTGGGTATCCTATCAGCGGATTAGCAGCCATTTTTCTTGCAAGGGCATCCGCTTTTTCGTTGCCTTCTACTCCCGTATGTCCTGAGACACAGAAGAGGCTGGCTGTTTTGCATACCTAATTTGTTTAGTTTAATTTTGCAATTCAACACCATCTTTGAGCTAATGATGTTTGGACTTGGCGCTTTGATGGCTGCTTGGCTATATGACATGATAGCTATATTCTTGTTTTTGTACCCTTTGTTCAGATTCGACTGGATACATCTCTCAATTACATAGACTTCAGCCTGGAAGACACGAGGGATGTATTTCTCGATAATTTCTTGGACATAACGGACTGCGTTGAAGGTGCCTTCAACAAAATGGAGTCCAGTTTATCTATCCTCCATGTAAATCCAGCCCAGACCATTACACGGCCTCTTCCAAACTGCACTGAAGGGAGCACGAACAGCATTTTACGCATCCCCTGTTCTCGGTTGGCCCTTCGGCAACTGCTATCACTTTACAAACAGAAACTGTGCGAAACAACATAACAGCATTCCAGGTGGTGTTCTCTTCTAAGCGCTCGCTTCATGATATTCTCCTAAGTTGCTAGTGGCGGGCTGGAGGTCATCTCAGAGTGTCACACGATGTGGCGGGCACTATGGCAAAGAGTTCCGTCTTGAAGCAATGACAACATTTCTGTCCTCCCTTAGAGTCGTAACGCGCTGAGATACGCTTCCAGTCTCTCGGAATCGGGCTAAGGCTAGCGTGGGAGACCACGCTCTAAGAAACGCCAACTACCTCTGCGATATCCACCTGCCGGTGACCTCGATGTCTCATTCTCAAATAATATTGCGAACTTCTGGTTCAAGATTATGTCTTTCCATGGTTAAAGAGAATACAACTGGATTAACATGGAGAAAAGACAAAAAAAAGGCGTTTGTTTACAAAATAAGTAATCATCGTGTTTACTATTCTTAAGTAAATCTGTTATTAAAAAATGAGGATTAACATTTGTTTGTTTTTGGTTTGTATTTTCCATTTTGTTTTATCCACTAACAAGAATATATCGGTTAATTTCATTAAAATTAATATAATAAGTACAAATATCTCTATTCATTTTTGAGCAGCTTATTTTGATACACTTTGCTGATTCAACTGGCTGATGGTCTAGAGTTGTGTGAATCCTACGTCTTAGTGTATTTACCAGATGTACGTACCATTTTGACTTTAGACAAAACATAGTAAATTGTTAAAAATAAGGGTTAAAAATAAGTACTAAAGATTTTTCAGACAGGTTAGTACAAAAAAACTTCGCCATTGTTTGAAAATCAACTATGAATTTTTGTGTTTACTGCCGAAATAAGCCTATTGAGAAGAAAATTTCAAGTAAATGTTTATGATATTGTTAAACCAAATACATACAAATGGAAGGAACCACCATTTTCGCCCTGAAACTATACCACGGAGCTCCTGTTCAGGACTGCGGTGGACGAGTGGTTAGGGCGTCCGATTCCTATTTGATATTCTTGCGGTTCTGTGTTCGAATCCCGGCAGGGCCCATGGTTTTTTAATGGATTATAGTATGAAAAATATTGTAAAGCGGTTTGATCTCTCGTCCGCGACACCCAGTGGGTAATTGGGAGGACGTTAAGACGGGAATTGCCGACCTTATCCGCGGAGGGCATATCAACAAAGCGGCCGTAGAATCGTAAGATCTCTGTTTATGCCTCCTAAACCACTTCCGCCCGGGGTTTCAGAAAATAACAGAAACCAGTTCTATTTCTGCCGAGCCCGTCATGCAACCATCAACCCACCTAGGAAAGTCCTTGACCTTCTTCAGCTTCATCAATTATAACTGTAGTAGACTGTTCTTGACAAGAGGTCTTTGTAGTATTTTTCTCCCAATATTTTTTTTCGATATTTATACTTGTACAGTATTTGTACACATTACGATACTTTTTTCACACGATCACATCACTAACACTAATGCCAGTTTAGCACCAGGAAAATACATGCTATAAGAAACCGGCCAATACGGCACTCAGTGTGAGGTTTAATGGACAAGGAGGTATCGAGGCCATCGTCGAATAAAGGCAACATGATTCTCGGAATGGGAATGAATGAGAGGGCTCGAGCAATAGGGTTAGGATTGGTGAGAAACTTTTGGAATCGGGAACGGATCGGTGCATTGTCAAAAGGAACGTTGAGGTCATTGCGGATAGTGAGGTTAGTCAAGAGCTTTGACAATTTGTCTAAGGACTTTGATTGGAAGGATTGGACGTGTTGGATGTTGGAGGGCTTGGCAGAGCCCCACAGTAAAAGTAAAAACTTGTTAGTTAGTTTAGTGCTAACGGGCAACACCAATTTCGATCCTTGAAGTCTTCGTAATTGTCCAAGTTTTCTGTTAAGATGTTGTCGCTTAAGCCTTATGTGGGGATTCGATTCTGCTGTCTAGGTATAGTCCTAAGTATTTGATTTGAATGGAAGACGGTATCTCTTTGATGTTGATGTTCAGTGGAGGGCAAGTACATTTTTCTTCATTTAGTCTTGTACTCCACTTTTTATATCAGTCTTCGGTAAACTCAAGGTGTTCTAGGATGTTGGAGGTAGCTAGGATTCGTGTCAGAGGACAAATCGTCCACGTAGGTGGTGATGTTATTGGGGTATGGAGGTATGTCAGCAGTATAGATGATACAAAGGATGAGACCAAGAATGCTCCCTTGTGAGACGCCGGTTCGTATCGGTCTCATTTTCGAGAACTCGATGCCTCACTATGAAGCAGCGATCTGTTAGGTAATATTGTTTGTGACTGCGTACCAAATGTTGTGTAATTGTGAATATTATTGGATTATCCATCCAGCTTTGACGCACTTCCACAGACTAGCCTATAAAAACATTATAGATGAATTTACCCAACAAACAATAAATTTATCTTTTCATCTGTCTATATTTCTGAACACCTGTTTAATGCTTATTAAATTAGACGAACCGAGATTCCTCAACAAGTGAGTTTTGTAATTTGAGTTTCATGAAAAAATCAATAACAAATCTATAAACGTCAAATTATATCGCAGACCCAAGACGAGTAAACTGTTTACAACGTGTGTCACGTCCAAAGTAACCACATACCTAAGAGTAATATTCTAAAATTAAGATGATTGATGGGGGCCTTAGGTGAAAATAGAATTGGTCAAAGCGTCCGTAACAAAATTCCTCCTTATTAATAAAAATGATGAAGGGTCGGGTGAGTTTGTGGATTAATCTGTGAGTAGAGCCATCATTTACACAAAATGTTCCCCCTTATTATCTATTATTTGCAAGAGGCACGTTTCCAAATACGCTTCTCGGCGGTTAGGGTGAAAAGAATGACCTCCAGTTTAAATATCTAATCCTACTGCGCTGCTTTTCCAAAATCACTACGGAAAGTTCCATGACGTTTGTAAATAATTTGTACGATCTCAACATTTTTTTGACCTGGTAATGCAAAGTTCGAGTTATTAGACTATTTTTGACCTCATTTCTATTGTCTCATCGTTATCCTTCTCAAATCTCCAGGCAATTATGTCCAGGCAGAGACTGGTTATTACTATTTAACTCATCTTTCCGCGATGTCAGCCTTGAGAAATCTTGTTATTGCAGTTTTGTGAAAGCGGCCAAACATTCAAAATCAGTATTCTTTCCATAGTTCGGTCGTTACCGATTATTTACGTCTCCTATCTTGGCTGGTTTTGTCTGTCAGAAGTGTTTCGGCTTCACTTAGCATGATAGTTGATCGTGAAGATGGTGAAATATCGAGACTTGCCAAACAGACCAACCAGCGAGTATAGGCGGACCAAAATGACCGGAAACGACCAGATTGCAGGTACCATCTCACTATATTCATTCACTGGAGACAC